GCTTAACTTCTTAGCAGTGCATTATTCAGCAGTTCATTTGCTTGCATTCGAAATTATTTAAATTTTGCATGGAAGATACCAAACTATGACACTAATTTAAAGGCTGCTGTAGTGTTAGTGGGCAAATATTTTTGAGCTGAAGTTTTTAACATGTGTGTTAAGTGCCTGCGTGCCTCTACATTTACATGCCAGAAATCACAGCATCCATGGTCGCTAATGGTAACTGTGTTTGCATTCTTTGTAGTACAAGAAGTAAAGCCATGGATGCAGTAATCATGTACTTAGTCGATGTAATCCTTCAGTGTACACTCATTTGTATAGCACCAATGATGCCATGAGTGTATAAGCTCTGGGAAGTGAATCTATGTGGATTATTTTATTTGGAAGGAAGAGGATCATCACTACTCCAAGTATATTTTAACAGTAGATTTTAGTGCTTGGGTATTATCCCACTGCCTGTCCGTCCTTCAACAGTCTACTTATCTACCGTGTAAGTGTAACTTTTTAAATGTATACTTTGCTCGGATAGGTTTGTTCATAATGTAATGCAAGTGCCTTATCATCTATGCAGCTCTACTCAGACTAGAAATAAAAGTATTTATTTTTATATGTAGCTATAGCATGCATTCACTTGTGTTTTTCTAGGTGCCTGTACAATTGTTTAGCCCTACAAAAGTGCCTGTATACTCTAATATTGAATCTGGCATCTTAAAATAGTCTGTTAGTGGAAGTAAGAATGTGTTTACAACCAATATTACTATCCTCAGATGAACTGTGAAAACTCTGTGGAAATTTATTTACAATTTTTGAACTTTGTGAAGACAAATGTTGTTATGTTCTTTTGTTGTGGTCCCTGTTTCATGCAAATGACACATAATTACTTTGCAGTGGCATAGTATTAGTTGTTATTTTACACATATGTGCTGAGCAACATCGCAGTTGAGGCCAGCAGCAAGACATACATGCAGTGCACTGGAACATCACCTCACATAGTGTACAGTCTTTGCCCACCAGTAAACTCAATATTTTTCAAGCAGACTAATAGACAGCTGTATGGGAACTGTGTTGATGTGCAAACTTTGAAGTCTTCTTAAGGAGTGTTTTTCATCATTTTTGTCCAAGTGAAGTAGCTACCCAAGGCTACAACTGGTGGGAATGTGGTGGTTTCCTCTCTCCAAAAGCACTCCTACCAACTGCCTCAATGTTAGCATGGAGTGAATGCATGAACTGGAAAAATAATTGGTCTTTGTTTTTTTGGCCGAAAGAGTCACTTCCACCGTTGAGCCACCACGACGCGCCAGAATAGAAACTTTTAGCTAAATAAAGTTGATTCTACTTTTGAGAAGTGTTTTGGGGAAACGAAATGGCACCTATAGCTGTCAATATAAACACTGTTTGCACCAAGAAGCTTAGTAGCTTATAATTGTATTATTCATGTATTGTCTAGAATTTACTCACGCTGTGCCAACTTTCAGCCCAAGTGTCCTAACATGCTTTGTTAGTGGGTTGTGAATGAGCCAAGCTATGTAAATAAATAGAGTGATATTTCAGACATGTACAAAATATTGATGCACAGCCCTTTTCTTTAGCATGACATTGTCAAGGGCTTTATTGTTGTGTTTTTTAAAAAAACTGCTTGTCACTGGGCAGCAGCGGAAAACTATGCATCAAGCTTTTGCCAGATGGTTCGAGAAACACCGTGTTCAGACATAACAGCGCCCATGGATTTCTCTCGTAAGTTACTTTCTGTAGTATATTCAAAATGAGTGTATTAGAATTGTTGTTTTATAGCCATTCATTTTAATATTTACACCTGAGTGTGTGTATGTATTTATGTACGGGTGTACATATGTATATGTGTGTGTGCGTGTATGTATGTATGTATGTATGTATGTATGTATGTATGTATGTATGTATGTATGTATGTATGTATGTATGTATGTATGTATGTATGTATGTATGTATGTATGTATGTATCTTTTAAATGAGAATCCATTTATCATTGGTGAGTAAGTTTGGTAATGATTTGGCTGAATTTGTTTCTAGTTATTTCTCTTTTGAGCCATTATACATTTCAATTTGTTTTGTACTACATAAAAGTACATGTAACCTTAAACAGAATATGTGTGTTCGAAGAAGTTGTTTCATTTACCAACCTACAGTCATGGGCAAGAAATTGGGTAAAGTGGAACGAACCTGCGAAGATCAGTTTAGAGCATAGCTACTCTACATGGCATATCTCGTACACATTGCGTTGGTTGAATATGTCGATTTCAACCTTTCAATTTTAATCAGAATAAGCAAGCTATCACCCGTGGTTGTATATGTGTGTGATATTTATGCATACTGTGATACCGGTTCGCAATTACAATTAAGGTCACAAACCTAGTCAAGCTGAATACACGAATTTTGTCCATGCACCTTTCATCTGCACTGGAACTGTTGTTAATAAAAAATAAACTTCAGTTTAGAAATTTATTCTAGTAACCAAAATCAGGGTATCTCTATATCACACAAATCAAATTGCCATTGTTCTGTTCCATTCTGGACAATAGGGGACCCTCTCAGCAGAACTCGATTAACTGCTATAGTTCATTTTAACCATTGACAGCGACATTACACTGAAGCGTGCAGCATGACAAATAGCGGGAGAGAAGACACAAACTAATCACTCTGTTTGCGTCAGCTCTAACTGTCCGTGCTCTTTGGTCTTGCTGCATGTGATGATGCCCACCAAATTAGCATGAAAGCGTGTCCCTACAAAGGCAGTCAACTTGGCTGCAAGCAGTTAGCTCACTGCATGTGTAGATTTTCTTCAAAACACCGTGAAGACTGATTGCTGGTCGAATATCCAAACACGTGAAAAGTAATATACCAGGTATGATATTGGTATTTCAGCACTGGACACTTTTGCAATAAGAGAGGATGGAGGAGAAAATTATGAACCCTGAATTGTTTAATTTTTGAAGGAGCGCAGTACAGCGCTTTTGGGTCAAAAGGGGAGTGAAAGAAGCAAGTGCGAAAGCCTACTTCTCAAAAAATTAGTACCCGCCACCACGCATAATGTCAGGCCGGGCAACCTTTTGAAAAAAAGAAGTGCTCAGTGATTCTGCAAATCGAACCAAGTGCCTCCTAGATTGTAGTTGAGCGCTGTAATCGCTCGTCCACTGACACAGTGCTTGCATTCGCCCTATTGCTGATATATCGTCATTCCTTCGAATGAAGCCAAATGCAAAAACGTCCGGTGAAACTTTGTCAAAAATAGAAAAAATAGTTAGAATGCGTTTGCCCAAGGTTACTAGAAGATAGAAACCGCCACGTGTGACTGTATAACCGTGCGCTATTTATTCTTGTACATTACTGTCATGACGTTGGGATAGCCGGCTCTAACGTAGGCTACCTTCTCATAGTTTGCCAAATATAAATAAGAAAATAAAAATATATATCGGCCTGTGACAACGCTAATCAACTATTATGAGTTCACTGTCACTAGTGTCACTTTCACTAGATGAATGCTCAGTTTGCTTCCATTATCGTTATTTAGGAAAGTTTTGGCTCATTAACTCAACTCTCCTAATTAGCATTGATTCTCCCATCTAAGAACAGTCACACTTCATTTCGCTTTCTGAGTGGCTGTCACTCCCATATAACGCGTACTCCACTTTTTTATGCTCTCCGAGCATCTGACGTTGCTTTGCGGAGACTTTCCCTGACGTCTGCTGGGCCAGAAAATTGTCTTTATTATCTATCAATTTCAAGCTTCCGCGAAGCCGAAATGAGAGTCTCTCTCTCTCCCTCTTTTCATCCTTTTCGCACGTGTGATAACGTCTCTCGACCTCAAGACTCGTATACACGTCCCTTGCTTTGTTTGCGCACTCAAACAACGCTGGACGAAATATTTGCACCGTGTTTTGTGCAAAGCATTAGCACTGAGACACCTCCCGACGAGTCTCCCTCATTTTACGTAGACATATACCTAAGCGTAAGCGTATGCACGTTCTCGCATTCCGGCTTTATAAAAATGCTGCGGTGCATGGAACCAGCGAAATTGCGCTCACAATTTCATTTGATTACTGCTGTTATCTATTTCCGCACAATTCGTCTGCAGGCACCAAAGTCGCTCATATGTCTTGTATTAAGAATATTGTAACAAAGGCTACCTTTGACTATAGGTACAAGACACCCTTACGTTCACCACTATACCCTGCTAGATTGCACCGAATCAGTTAAGTAGCAGCGCAGCTTCAATGAAATGTAAGGTAACTGGTCGCGTAAAATAGGGGAAGACATTCGAGGCACATTTTCAAACATTGCATGCATCGATTTATGTGTGGTTTCATTTATGTGGTGCACCTGGAGTGTTGTTTACTTGTACTTGACGAGATAGTGCATGGATTGCTCGGTGGCTTAAGGCCATGGAGCAATTATTTTTTTTAGCTACAGGCGTTGATTAAAGGCAAGTGCTTGGCTTTGCACAGCCCACCAAAACGTTTATTACAACGTACGCGGCATCCCGTAAGCGCTGTAGCAGACGCTCGCGGAACTGAAACTTAGATGCAGCAAATCATTGGCTATCATCGTATACTCTCGATGCTAGACGCTTTGCGTGCTACCTTGATATTATCGACACACACTTCTTTCTTTTTTTGTCGTTTCATCGGCTATCATGTGTCCTCCTTGCCCTCATAAGTGCCGAATAAGTTAAATTCATACCCGCGCTATAGTAATCCCTCCAGATAAGAGAATTTTTGGCTAAGAAAATGCGTAGCCAAAGAGAAAGCTTTGTGAATTCGGCCCCTGTAAATTACATTTCAAACTGGAATTTAGTTTTTCACACTACATCACTGCAATAAAACCTTCACAATCATCTCTAGATAACAAGTGCATAATGCACGAAATTTCATGACTATTAAATGATTAAATGACTATGGCACTGCATAGCTTTGCTGCCATACAAAATACCAACAACTTGTCACAGACAAAGAGTGCAATAGACTTACCCGATTAGTGACGACTTTCACTGTACTTGAGTCCAAGATTGGACAGTCTTTACAAAAAGATTCTCGCTTTCCCCTTGTCAGATTATCCGCCAAGTCGAAAGACAAACGAAACTCAAATGGGGTTACTAAATCGGTGACATTGCCCTGCCCAGAGAAAGGAAACAAGGAGAATTCCAAGTGATATTTGTGCCAAAACTGTTATGCACCACCAACAATGAGAAGGCTCGTGAAAAACAAAACACACTATAGCATTAATACATTCACTGTGGTATACAAATACTATTATGTAACTGGCACAAAAAGACGACAAATTTAATCATTCTGTCATATGTACTTACAATATGAATTTTGTGAGAATCTGCTAAAGCAATCAATTTCTGGCCTTTGGGGAAAAAATCTTGAAAGAACATACGTCACCTGCCTTCTCGATGCAGTATTCTTAAATGATCTTATGGGCCACTCTTTACCCACGTTTCAATACTACCTTGGTGTTTGAAGGCTCCAGAGAGCACAAGCACTTTACTTATAGTGTGAAGACAATTGCAGTGATAGCCATATATTATCTGATTGCCTCATTGCATATTTTTCAAAATTACTCCTTCATTTTCAGTCACATCTACCTTTTTGTGTGTTTATTCATGTGTTTTACATAGCTAAACTATAGCACTTGTTCCGTCCTGTATATTTTTGCTCTGCCATTTCGAGTAGACTGCCATCCTAGTCACTGAACTATACTGACTGTGGCTATTAGCAGTACTCTACATAGCGTGTAATAGGTGTGAAGCACCATAGAGGCTCTGCCTGTCGGTGTCTTATGTTGTCACGGCGTGTCGTGTAGTGATAGTCCATCATAAAATGGGTATGCACCATAAGAATAGGGTAAGTACCACTACTTGCCACAGTCCACTAAAAATGAAGACGACTAAAATGAGCCCGACCATAGCAGACAACGTTGGTGGAGCTGGAACATCCTTCCCTACATGCCATAAGGAACTTCATTCCGTACATGCCAAAGGGAATGAAGGGAAGAAGAAGCACCACGTCAGAGGTAAGCTGCAGTTCTGATGCAGTTTTACGAAGACGTAAGCAGAGTGGAAACAGGCTTCCCTACATGGCCATTTTAAGGCTTGGCACCACTAGCCCCTTGTCAAAGAAATCTCTCTCAAAACTCTGCAAGCTTTGCCCCTCCCAAGTTATTTCGTCACGTTTTGATCATCTACGAAAGTGCCTCCTCATCAAGAAGACTTCACAGTCATGTTGCATCATCTAAGCAGTAAGCATATAGGCAATAATAAATGCGACACTGCTGACTAAAGTCACAGCCATAATGGCAAGGTGAAAAAGCCTTTATTATAGCACCTGAAGTTCTTTCACATTGACCTAATAGACCTGAAACGATATGCAATTGGTGCCTACAATATATACAATTAGAAAATAGCAATACCACATAGCCTTATGGCCTGCAGTCCTTGCATGGATACAGTGTGGTTACACAAACACTTACGTCTATAAGGGCCCTCTCTGAGAAGCAGTTCTCAACACCCATTCGAAGAGTCTTTTCAGCTGAGACACTTGTGGCAATTATTCCATTAGGCAGCCAAAAGCCACCCCTGGGCGACTGCTTATCTGCCCTTTTGCTGTCGATTTCCAACTGGTAGTAAAACCCTGTGCAGAGAAAAGTTCAATTTATGAATAAATAACATGACCATTTAAGAATTATGACATGTGCTGTCCTGAACATCAAGAAACAGTTGTTTTCATGAAGAAACTTCTTTTAGAGACATTGAAATATTTCATACTCTAATGCAATGCAAAGCTGCAAATATGTTATACAAATTATAATGCTCTAATAGTGATCAATAGATGTCACTGAGAGACTGAAAAGCATCAGGTAAAATTTTACTCTAGGTTGTCTGTCAGATGCAAACACTTTACCCAGGACTATGAGAACACTGTTATCATTTTCTCAAGCACTGTGCTGGACACATGGCTTTAGTGATGCTGTAACTTGTTAATACCAACATATATGAAGTGCATATTTTTTTATCTTATATATAATCAATTCACATGTCCAGCTCTCATACAAATCAGTAGGCTCGGGCATGCAAACTACAGCTGAGGATGGCCCTCCAGCATTCTTGCAAAGAATTATTGCCCTAAGTAAGCCAAAATTAAAAGTGTAAACTGTGCGAAACTAAGCGTTTTCTCAGTGCTAAAAAAAAGACTACACAAAATGTTATATATAACAAGGGTTCTCAAACTGGGTTGCGTGAAGGGCCTCTTGAGGTTCCACAAGCAGCCAGAATGAGTAAAACCTACTCCCGTTTTACCACCAGTTAGCAGCTAATTAATTTATTTAGACAAGCAAATTTGCATTACATTTTGCACTTTACAAAGCCATCACATGCTTCATCCACACAATGACCAACTGCGGACAGCGAAAGACCAACATGGTAGCAGCAGTAAAGACTTGTTGTCTAGTGCGCGATTATACTTTGACGATTAGCAGACCTGTAGTGACAGAACATGCGAAGGACTGGTAACTCCTGCTCGTGAGTGTTCGAACCACGGTTAAATTGACATTAACGAGCACATCAGTGCTTTATCTGCAGTAAGCCTCGACGGCTATCATATGGTACGTCGGCTATCATATGGCACATTTTTCATACACGGTGGTTCGGTACTGCTCTGCGACACTTTTGTAATTAAAATGTGCAACAAGTGCATTGATATATATATAGGAAGCATCAATTCGTGCCAGCTATTTGCTGCATGTGCTGCATGAGCATTTAGGATAAGCATTACGAATGGTGTATTGGCTGGCCATTTCGCCGTGCAACTGGAACGTCTCTTATCTTGATTCGCAAAAAACACTCCTGTGCCCGTCCAGCACTTGGTTCAGGTGAACACATTACTTCCACTGCATGGTGCATGAGACATCCAATGTATGGTGCGCGCACGATTTACACAACTCTGAGAGCAGTGCTGGCTGAGAATCGCAAGTACAGTAGGCTCTCAGTAAACGGAACCTGAAGGGACCAGGAAAATATGTTCCATTTAACAGGAGTTCCGTTTACCGAGAGGTGAACATGGGTGCAGAATACAAGCCCGAAACCAAGCATAGCAGAGGCAATAGTTATGTTTAAGCAGTAGTTTCGTTTAACAAATTTCTGTTTACTGAGAGTCTACTATGTATGTATTATAGGAGTTTTACATCAACGGCAATGGCCTTAGATATTAAAGAAATGATAACAGGCAAACGTGGGCAGTTTTAATACTGTGGTTGCGCGTATCAAGGCGCATCATCACCTAACCTCCCGTACCCTGCTTTCAACTGTCTTCACGCCTAAAAAATGTAGGGGCTCTGTTGCACCCCGGAAAAGCCGTTGGGGTTCCTCAGGGCCACAATGTTTGAAAAACCCTCTGATATAAAGAAGGCAATTCTATTTACATAACATTTGACATTCATGTAATTCTGCAGCTTAACAAAAACAATGAAGTTTTGCACGCCTGAGTGCATTCAAACTCATATCTTGTCAAGTGCATGCATTGAACACTGACCTAGTTCTTCACTGAGAAATTTTCCAGAGTAGGTCATACACGCCAATACATCCATGCAGTAATAGTCAACATTGTTCTCCTTGCATTTTGGGGTTTTGTTGGACATCCGTCCTGTAGGTATTTCAATCCAGCCCTTTGCATACGCAATAGGAGAGGCCCTGAAAGAGGAAGATGTTAACATTGTACACAGTGCATTCTATGGATGCAATTCATTACCACTTAAGATATCAGCATTGCAAGGTGACAATTATGTACCCTCCTGAATTACAGACAAAAAACAAGGTCTGCATACCTGAAGAGGTAAGCCGTGTCTGACTCATAAGCTCCTATCATGATATCTGTAATAAAAGAAGCCATTGGTTGAAGCACATTCAAGTCATAGGCAAACCAGTTTTAAGCTAGGGAATATAACGACACAATGCCCATTAAATTAAATGTACTGTTAAATTAAATAACCATTACTGCATGAAGAGCAGCAAAAGTTCTGACAATGCAAAGCCAATTTCATCGTAGCAGCAATAAATAACACGCTTCCAGTGTATATAACATGTTTACCTGGGTATTCGTTGCCATCAATATCCAACGCCTTGGAAATGCTGATCCCAAAACCCTGTGGCGGAGGTATCTGTGACCTCGCATCAATGCGCTATCAAATGGGAGAAAGCAACAAAGTGCTGATGAGATGTGTACTTATAGGCCAAGAGGCATTTGCACACAATGAGAGTGCTTTATTTATATATGAAGAAGGTGTACACTTGTCCAAAACTGTTTATTGGTCGACGTCTTGATCGAAGACCGATCATAATGAAGACGAAACGTCGACCAATAAACAGTCTTGGACAAGCATACACCTTCTTCTATTTATCTACGGCAACTGAACACAGCCTTTTTGTAATCTACGTGATATATATATATATATATATAGGCTATACAGCTACCTTACCTGACTGTATGTGGTTTTTAGGCCATTCTTCCCACCATTATATATGTACACAGCACCATGGCCATTTTCATATGGAGCACCAATAGCAACATCTGAAAAAAATATATGTATATATATATATATAAATATTATTGTGCACACAGGTTGGCAAAATAAATGGAACTCACTCAGATTCACTCAATAAATACATTTTTAACTTAAAACTCACTCAGGCTAAGACTCGCCAATATTTTGCTCAAGCAGGCTCACTCGGACTCACGAAATTTCTCTCCAACCAAATTCACTCGAAGCCTGACTCGCCGATATTTTCGCCAACCGAACTCACTAGGACTAAGACACACTAAACTTTTCCTCAAATGGGCTCACTCAGACTCAGACTTACTGAATTTTCCGCAAGCACACTCACTCGAACTCAGAATCCCCAAAATATAACTTAGCCAGGACTCACTTGAACTCAGACTCGAGAAAATATTGCTCAGCTGGGCTCACGCAGACTCGTACTGAGTGAGACCAAAATTTATGATATTATAAGAATGAGGATAAGTAAGAATGAGCATAAGTCTGTTACCTGCGTATCCATCTAGGTTGAGGTCACCAATGTTGACGATAGTAGTGCCAAATCGAGCACCTGGTACAGATGAACCCATTAGTTGACCAGGTTGCAGAGACAGGCTCTGAAGTCGCATAAAGAAGAAGTAATGAGAATTAGTCTTGGTTTAACATTGTGCATATAGCTTGGTTCCCACAAAGATATATATATGTGTGTTCCAAGCAACCTGTTTTTTTAGTTTTTACGTGTTACAAAACATATGTACCTCTGCCGAAAGGACTCGGGCACAATTTCTACTAAGATGCATAAGCAACAATATGCTTAAATGTAAGCTTGAATTATCATTTACTTCAGTCAGATTACCCTTGCTAGGGGCTTCGAAGATGCCACAATGAATTCACAGTTACATAAATGCATTATATTGGAATAACTAAGGTATAAAGTATGCTTCGTAGTAAGTAGCGCACTTTTGAAACTAGAAAAGTTATTGCATACATAACGGGTATTCTCACATACTTACCGCTCCATTGCTAATGTAGACATACGCTTTTCCCTCATCCCCAGTAGTTTCTTTTAAAGAGTAGAATGGAGCACCAACAATCAAGTCCGAGTAGTTGTCATTGTTCAAATCAATCCCCAGCACTGCAGCCCCAAAGTATGACCCCATCTGAAAAAGAGAAAAAAATGCAGCTCTTGCTTTTGTGCACAACTTGAATCTTAAAGGGACACTAAAGAGCAAAACGTTTTTTCTCGTATTAGTAAATTACTCTCGGACAATAATGAAATCACCACACTTGCCCCAAGACGACGCTTCTCAAGTGAGAAAACATGCAAAAAAAATGCAAGTGGCCATGCCACATTCGAAATTCCCACCCCAATCACTGTGACATCATAGACTATTAACAGCCTGTCCTGTTTTTTGATAAACCCGGAGACTTAACGTACTAAATTTCAGGCAATTTCGTTGTGTTAAGTTCAATGTAATACAAAAGGTACACCTAGAAATCATTGATGTCGTGCACTGAGTTCCAGCGAAAAATTTAAGAATTAGACTTTGACTACGAATTTCTCCTTTTAGTAACAAAGTTACAATCGTGATGTTAGTGTAATTAGGATCATGAAAGTACAAATATTACCGTATTAACTCGTATAATAGGTGGACTTTTTTGCAGAAAATCCAGCTCCAAGTTCGGAGTGCACCTATTTCGTGAGGTAAAATTTCTGAAAATTTTATTTACAACTACAGCATAGACCGCTGATTCTGCACGTTGCCGAAGTCACGAATATCCACTCTACAGCATTCTTCCTAGGCTACTCTAGAGCAGAACGCGTTGAGTGAGCATGCAGTGTCGTGTGTTTGAGAATCGAGGCATGCGACGGGCGGTGTACATTGAAGTTCCAAAAATCAGCACCGAAAGACCTGCGCCAATGAAACGAACTCAAAAAAAAAATCTACGAAAAGAAAGCGCCACCGTGGAAGTTCGCCGATCACGTTTCAAGCCACCTAGATTATGCGCATTATCGGGACTGAAATTTTGTGCAGCTGAACGGTACTGATTGTTCGATTTCACAGCTCACAACCCATATCCAAAACATAGCAATGGAATCCCAAACCACCACTCGAGTGTTACAAGCACCACCCAAGCCTCCTTTATTCAAGTAGAGCCACCGAGATGAATTACTGTTGATTCCGGACAAAACCGCAACTTTGATCGCCCACGAACAGCCACCAAAAGGCATCAACAACAGTGATCAGGCCTAGCCCTACAATCCGGCATGTTGTCGCGGGAAGTACGGTAATGTGAAGATTGGCCGTCGAAATGGTCTTACTTAAGCACCGATGGCATTCAAGAGCAGCGCGTGTGATACGTGTGATACAGCGCGTGTGATACGACAATGACAGAAGGCCTACTTCTTTTCTCTGATTTGTTTTTTCCAAGCCGAGCCTGTGCAAGTCCACGTAGTGACAGCAAGAACGAAAGCTCGCCTCAGAAAGCCAAAAAGCTTTTAAATTTGCGGACAAAGTAGCAAACGCAATAACGACGACGCTTTTGCCGACCGGAAACTCAAAGTGCACTAGACGAGATTGCACACCCCTTCCCTACTCGACGAGCCCGCGGAGCTGGTGCAGTACTGCTGGGGTCTTTATTTTTATTTGCTCCAGTTAACGTAAAAGGGCATTGAATTGCAACCGTGCAAACAGAATACAGAACTTCTGATCACAGCCAAGTTCTGGGTGTGCCTATTACGAGCGGAAGTAAAAAAAAAATCCGATTTCTCGTGACCGAAGTGGGGGTGCACCTATCATGCGAGTAAATATGGTGAATGTACATAAATTTATTGTTTCACTTTAGTTTAGTGTCCTTATTAAGTACACGTCGGTGGACAACTTGACTGGTAAAACAAACACATTCTCAAAATCAGTGTTCCCTAATGCTTGCATCAAGATGGCAATTTGCACTCGTCTGCTAAAGTTAACGGCAATGAACATGTTCCCTCCTTTATCCTTTTCTTTATTTTTTTTACCAGAAGTCCACACTCAAGAATCGAGCAAGAACAAGGAACACACTTTCATGTTAATAGCTTGCACCCAAGAAGCCCTGAATGCTCCCCTGTTCTCTCAAGCATTGCAAACAGACTATGCATAGTTAAAACAGCAGCAAAACAAAGTAGAATGCACCGCATTGTTCTTAATAGAATGCTCACTGCAAAAAAATGAAGTGACTTGCAGGCGTACTGCCTTTATCCCATGATTTATTGCTTCATAACTAGATCACAACAATGCTTATGCAATAGCATTCCTTGTCTTCTCAGATCTTGGGAGTTGCCCCAACAACACATGAAGCTGCATGATCCCCAGAGACTACCATTTTTGTTGTACTACAGTCATCAATGTTTCCCACCAGAGAGAGAGAAGAGAATTAAGCTTTATTGCAGAACTAGATGTATACTGTCTTCACCCAGCAAAGAAGTGCAATGTTTTATTCATGAGCTATGATGCATCACAAAAAGTGACGTTGCTTAGCTGTATACTACTATAACACTTTTAGCACTGAGGTTGTGTCTGGGCTTAACCAAACACTAAACACTCCATGCAGGCCCAGACGAAGCAATTATTTTTAATAGGAGTTATGTGGGGAGAACATAGATGATTTATTAAGTATTCAAACTATCACAAAAATCATTTCTCTGGTACTTAGTCTTGTAGAAAAATTGTATGCGAGAATATGACAACAAGACTGACCTGTTCACCTTCTTTTTTCATCTGCACACGAAGGCTATTTGATGTTGGGGTTTCCTGGGCAAAGAAATACACCTGAAAAAAAAAAAACAATGTGGCCAGAATTAAGTGCATAGTTTATGCATACTAAATAGGTTGTGAATGTGTTAGTAAGTAATTCATGAAAGACAGACTCCTGTAATGTTGAAGTAGCTCTAAAAGGCAGTATTTAGAATAATAGGAACTTTCTTACAAGCTATGAATTATGTATTATGCATGCATGCTCCAATGCACACTACTGTCTGCTTTCCATGGTGTGATCTTAGATTATATGCAGTGTAAGATGAAAGCCCAAGGATTAGGCATACACATCACACAGATTTGCAACCAAAAGGTTGCTTTCAAACATTATGAAGAAAGGTACATAAACATGCAGTTAGAAACAGGAAATGCAGGCCTTTTCAAAAGGCAAGCTTCTGGTCATTGCTTTTACAAGCTGTAGTTTTTAGGAGAAAAGTTTTGTGTCTAATCCATGTTGTGTGGCATCTATGGATACTGCGAATAAATAAAACTTCATTCATTCAAGTCATTCATTCATTTTTTCAAATGCTTACCCCCCATCATCATTAGAGAGCTGTGACGTTGGGTAGCCAGACCTTGTGTTTCTCGAGTATGCACACTACTTCGAAAGATTAGGGACCGAAGTGCTAACCACTGAAGTAATCAAAAGGGTGGCTCGCATTTGACGCAAGCACATCAGTGAGAGCCAAAGCCATAGTACTGCGTAACCAGTTCTAAAACTGTAATCTTGCCTTCCAACAAAGCCCCCTTAAGTGGACCCTTTTGCAGCTGTGCTAATGAAGCTATCAATCAATGTGCACAGGTATACACCCTTAGCCTGACCTGAAGCTAACAGTTCCTAAGCTAATTAGTGATACAAGCCTTGACGAACTTCTGCTTTGTAGCTCATAGGTCGACAGAACTTGTGGAGCTCACTCAGACTCACTCATGACATATTTTTTAGGCTTTGAACTCACTCGGATTTCAGGCTCACAAAAATTACCTTGACTTGGACTCACGCAGGCTTATACTCACGAAAATTTCTTCAACCGTACTCACTCGGACTCAAATTCACCAAAACATTACTCACCCGTACTCACTCTGACTCACGGCTCGATCTGAGTCCGAGTGAGTCCGAGTGAGTCGACTCATGAGTCCGTTGGCATAGAACTAGCTTCTTCGACCATGGTGTCAATGCTCTTTAACACCAATGTGACACATAATCAGTGCTCTCCTTCACACCGTTTGACATAGTGTCTTCGAAGACGAGTTCTGAGTGCTTCCAAACTAGTTAGGTTATTTATCATAGTAAAGACGACAGCATAACATATATTTATCAATAATTTCCCTCAAAGAGTCGGTGGGGTGGTCAAGGCAACACCCTACAATGCCTCTGATCAATAAATATTTTGTATGAATGACACTGCTGTGGAATGCATGTGAGCGACGCTGAGTATAAATGTGAATCCAAGTAAGGCTGATAGTGATGTTGAACATGACTAAATAGGAGCTTAGGTCGGCAAAAGAGAGTGGAACTCACTTAGACTCACTCAAGGAATACATGTTGCGCTTTGGACTCACTCGGACTTAGACTCGCCAAAACTTTTCTGAGCCGAATTCCTTTAGACTCACACTAACATAAAATTTTCTTCAACCGGACTCACTCGAACTCAGACTCAAGAAAATATTGCTCACCCAGACTCACGGCTCGATCTGAGTCTGAGTGAGTCTGAGTGAGTCGATTCATGAGCGAGTTCACTGACCTATGCTGCAGCTTGTATATGTGACATCTGGCATTCCACATAAAATAAGCTAGGTCTAAAGGGCAAATATGCAGTTCCGAGATGGTACACATAACAAAGTAGGAACAGATGAGTGTGCTTAGCGCCTCACAAAAATTAATCAAATTGCACCGTACGTTTAATGTCTCAAAGTGCCACCACAAAATGAAAGAAGAAAAAAAAGGGGAGGGGGAGGGGCAGCAGACTAACTTCAGCCAAATGGAGTTGTTCAATGTGCAGCTATGGCTTGTGACATGCAAGTCAATTTTACATTCCACAATCATTGGCACATAAACAGCAGTGCCACAAATTAAACCTAAAACCTTACTTTTTGGAGCCAGAATTTAATTGGTGTCACTGTAAGAACACACTTGGCTAGTCACATTTTATCACAATTTCAGTGATACACCGTACTCTGTAACATTTTTTTTAAGGACTCCTGACACCAAATTTGAAAATCTCGAGGTGTTTGTGTCGATTGTCCTGTATGGTGTATGTTGTTAGCTTTAAGATTTTTCCTTTTGTGTTTTAAGGTAAGTGCGAGTGCTCATCTAAGTTGGCAGCACATAGAAGATTGGTGGGCCGCACACTGTACCACGACTGGCACCAGTGAAGGCTATTGTTCCTTGCTCTTCTAGCTCTGTTGTCAGGCTGCTCTAAAGGTAGTGCTAGCTGCTTAGGCCAGGAATACCTTTCATTTTTTATTAAAGTAGACATGCGCAACAGACTCAACGTGCTTGCGTCTTTAGCAAGTGCAAGGCCAAGATGTAAAAACTACACTTTCAACAACACCAAAGCTCGAGTGGGCATGATCTTAGGCAATAATCTGCTGTGCGGCTTTCATTTGTTATGATTTTAGGTGAGCGTTTCGAAGTGGTACAAAATGCGTTGCAAAAACGATGCCAGAATTACTTATACAATATGATGGAGCATTCACGAATCTATTTCGAGGTTACCAGACACAAAGCTACAAATTACAATAAAAAAAATCGAAAACAAAAACTTTTTGTCAGGGGTCCATTAATGGACACATTTGCTGTTTCAAGCACACTCACCGCTCCCTTACGGTCCTCAGTTTCTCTCGGAGCTCCAGCAACCATTGAAGGGCCCATGCTTTCGAAGAAGCGGCCTGACGTTACACTGTAACCTGAAAAAACAGCAAATGTGTAATTCAGTAATTGAGAGGAGCAAACATACTAGGATAATTGAAACACACAAAATGCCCCTGATTGTGTCAAACCAAAGACCATTTTGCAAACAATTGTCAGTACTCACCAATATACTGTTGAATTCTTGGAATCTTTCCAGCATCCAAAAGGCCCCGACTTTGAGATTTAAGCTCTCATCAGTATCGTTAGGTATAACGTATTTGACGAGTGAGCCTGCAGATTGCAAAAGAAAAACATGAATGTAGAACTTCATTTGATGTCATTGACAAAATACATTGCACACATCACCTGGTTTGGCCACACATACTGTGCCCCTGTTCTAAGTACCGCTTTCTTCATGCATTTCTAAGCTAACCACATAACAGATGTGGTGTCTCCCTTCTCTTTCTTTATGTTGTCAGCACACCAACTTCATACAATGCAATCAAACTGCTCAGAAAACCATTCTTTCACACAATGACATACTAACTAGGTCAGTCATCTGCACTTTTACAAATACTGGTCCCCTAAACAAAATGTTTACTGAAAGTTAAGAGTTTAACATTCAAAAATAAATGTTTATTGGTACTTCTAATGTGCATTTTCCCCTATTCTTCCCAATGCATGGGCAAGAACAAAAAAAAAGAAAATACAACTTATCAATGTTGACTTTATCACTGCTACATACAATAAATAAGATAAGTTGAACTGAGTTAAACTTATTGCTATCATTAGTAAACACAAATGATATAGTATATTATTAGTGCTTGACTTCCCAGTACATTCTAAAGAATCAGCAGCATCTTTACCACAACCAAGCCAAACTGTACTAAGAACTCATTTCAGTTGGTTTCTTTCTGAAGGTTTGCTTAGAGCACATACAGCAGACCGAAAAAACAATATGATGAAAACATTTTTTTGTGGGTGTGTGGGTAAGACCAAAATCAAGCTCAAGGATGCATCATATATGTATGACATTCAAAGTGATACTGATTCAAATATGCAGCAGGGAACATTAGTGTGAGAAGCCAGTAACAGTAAGAACAATACCTGTCCAGTCAATGAGTCCTGGGGTCCCTACCAGGAGTTCATTACTCTGCAGTAAGAAAGCACAAACAATCAGTCAGGTCACAAACAAGGTCTCACAGATTGTTTATTACGATACTTAAACCCGTGCTTATAGAGAGTATAGCAATTTCATTCCCTGAATAAGAGACTAAGTCAGTCTGCAGGGACCCCTTTGGGCGTGTGCCCTTTGCTACTCATAGATCCAGGACATCATTTCAGTACAACATAATAATTATAGGTAACATGAGAGTGTTTCCCGAGAGAACTAAATACTGTTGCAGCTTACAGTAACTTCAATAGGCCTAGCCATTGTAAGCAATATAAAAGCTTATGCACAGTACTGGCCTTGCATAATTTCTGGGCAGCATTTTATTGCAAACAATTAAGCACTGAAACTTTTCCTGTCATTTGGGATCTTAATGTCTGCATCAGAAATCGTCATGGTATATAATAAATGACACTTACAGTAGAAATGTCTGCTGAAAATCCAAACTCTGCTACGGCATAGTAGTAGCCAGTGGGTTGATCAGCATTTGGTGGCGTAACTTGTTGTACTAGTTCACATTCAGAAAAGGATAACATGAAATGAAGTAAGTAAGCATTGGTTTCGTACTGTGCTTTATGTATAGTCAACTACATGGTAATAAAGAACCACTTACAAATAGGTATTAAAGGGACCCTGGAACAGTTTTTTTGAAGCTTTGTCAGCGTTTAGGCTAGAGCATCATCAAGGCATTTCGCACTGCAAATTTAGTAGCAAGCCATGTACAAAGGCCGCTACAGACAATTATATCATACCCTACTTTTCACCACTGCCTGGCCTCCTCAACTCATGAGGCCTGCTGGCATCGCTGGCGATCGCACAGCTTTCATGAGCACGCTCGACGTTTTGAGCTTTTACCAGTCTAGACCTCAGAGATCACACGCCAACAAGTTGCGCACAGTCTCAGAGGCCATCACATAGTGCACCCAGCAGCAGGCGCAGCGTCTGGCAACAAAAATAAAGATCACGGAGTGGTTCATATCTGCTCTTACAGGTGCCGCCACCCTACCAGACAATCTTACTTCCATGCATTCGACAGCCCGTGACAGCCAATCAGATCAGTAGCCACAGTGGCGTGGCTACCGACGTTCTCTGGCATTGTCAAGCAGCCAGACTATGTCTCTCTGTGAATGGGCAGTTGAAAACAAGTTTGGCCGAGTCGCAACGATCCGCAGCAATCTGCAGCGATTCGCAGCTTTAAAGCATTGTAATAAACTTTACAGTTTACGCAAAGAGCTCAACTCAGTCTCTAAATAACCCTTGAAACTTCGTCTACCAGCCCAATGTGTTTGCACAGAATTGCCAAAACCGTTTCAGGGTCCCTTAAAGTGAAACCTAAAGCTTGAACACACAAATTTCGAATTGATGGTTTTAAAGTAACATAAGAGCAGTACAATTTGAAATTATAATTCTATTAAATAAAGCTTGATTAATTATTCCCCATCTGCCTCTTAAAAAGCCCAATGCCCATACATTGCACTAGTCTGCTTAGCCAATTAACCACAATTTAGTTGTGTTGCTTTAATATTGACTAGAACATGACTTGTCACTACCTGTTGTGTCGATTTTTGCTATGTTAACACACAGAGGAATTTATGACTTTTAAATGAATTGAACAAATCTTTTTCAGTCGCAACTATTTATTTTGTTTAAACAAATCAGTATATATAACTAGCATTTTATCACTTTTGTGTAAGCTTGAAAAGCCACTATACGTTTGGTCATTGAGGGTGAATATAATTTGATCAGTTCTATAGATTTCGTGAAGATAAAATCCGTGGATGTTGACCGCAGCAGTAAGTGATTTCATCTGTCGCTCTTTTTCTTTTTTTTTACTACAGTATTACTGTAAAAGTGAAATACTCGAATAAAGACCGTCTGATGCTAAAAATGAAATTTTTTGACATTCACCACAGACCCTCGTCAGGTGATCTGCCAGAAAATGTGACATGGTGACATGTTCATTCCTCCTGCTTCCGTTTCATCTTTTTTGTTCAATGACACCCTATTTTTTTCCTATTATATCCTACAGGTGCTATAAGTATGCCTAAAATAAAAATACCTACCCAACACTTCTAATTGGTGGGATCAATCTTTTAAAACAAAAAACACTTCAATTAGTGGTGCTGTACTATTATTACACTTTGTTACGTAAAACTATGCGCCCTTCCTTCTCTATAATGTATGAGCTATAAAATTAGTCACAAAAGGTTTCTTACTTTTTCTAAGAAGTGGACGCAATGCATCACTGTGAACCAAGTCATGGTCGAGGACATAGCAGATTCCATTTAACATGTACATTGTACTCTTGTATAGCTGATTTTTCCATTTAGGGGCGCATACCTAAAAGAAAATATGAAAGACGTAGTAGCATTAGGGTGCTGAGTAAAATTTTATGCAGCTAAACGTACTTTGTGCCACATGCTCCTTTCATTGAATGATGCTTTCTTTGCGTTTTTTATGCCAAGAAATACATATATTTAGGTTTCTCGTACACATTGAAGTGTACGTAAAAATGGTAACATAGTTGAATTCATGTATAAGAAACACACACAGTATATGTAAGGAACAATCTCAAAATAAGACTCACAATAACCCTGCCATCGGGTCCAGGCTGAACAACCATTGACATCCCAAGGTGCATATCTCTGTGCAGGTCATGATAGGGTTCCCCATCAGCTTCATTCTCGGCATAATCCCCTTTGTCTGTTGCAACGAAAACACACGCACGTGTTCAATTCATATGTACCGATTGATAAGCAAAACAAAGTTAAAGTGAATGTGAAAAGTCGCTCAGTCATTGTTTCCTCATGAACACTACACCTTTTCTGAGAACTGCATTATTGCTTGGCAGTCTGTCATTTGCCAAGTTGAACATAGTATATAGGCTACTGCAATAGTACATAGGCTTTGCGAGGTTTAAATGATGAGATAGAATGAAGTCCCCACGGGTAAAACACATAAAGTAGTGGTATTAACAGGACAGTGTTTGTGGCATAAAAAAAACGCCAGGCATGCGTGGAACGCGCAACACAGTCACAGCGAAAGGTGGAAGAGCGGCCTTACAGAGCTTTTTTTAAACAATCTTTGAGTAACTGCAACAAGCACACTTGCTGGGTATACACTATGCCATAAATCTTTTTTTTTTTTTGTAGTAGGCTCCCATTAACTACGCTATTCTTTATCATTCTTCAAAGAAGCGTGATATCTGATACACACTTGCTATAAAATTTGTGTGATTTTTGATGTAGTGGTGGGACGATGAAGAATTATGTCTAAGGTGGGTATGCGCCACCGTCAACAAGTGATCAAGAACAAGCTTTTGCAATGGGTTGGAGCATTGGACGACCCACTCGTTACGCAATTCAATTTTGTGATTCCTGGTTCTTCCATTGATGTTCTGAAACCCTTTATTACTCATATTAATGTGGTTCCTTTCCCGATATCAAGCCTGCCTAAGGCCAGTTCAAAAACGAGTTACAAGCAGCAGCTTGGCTCAGTGGTAGAATACTGGGCTGGCGCGCAGCAGACCTGCGTTTGAATCTTATTATGTCCTTGGTGTTCTTCATTTACCGAGTTTTTTTCTTTATATAATCTTGCGACACTGGTTACGGACACTGGCAGCGGCGGACAACTACGGCGCTGCACATGACTCGTGTTCTGATCTCATAACAGCTTTCGCTGTACAAACGACCCAACAAGGATAACGAGGTATAGTAACAAAAGCATGCTCAGCTTACGTGAAGCTATTGGTTGACATAAGAAATATTGACACAGGCTCACACACTGTCAGTGTTTACTCGCGAATTCACATGCCAACATTATCACAGCAGTATTTGATAACATGATTTTTTTTTCTGGACAGCCAGGCATCCTGTCCTGCTGATGAGAACTGCTATTGGCATAGACATCAGTTGTTAATAGAATGCATCTTCATTCAGAGTGCATTGCACTATGGAGTGAAGAAATGGAAAATTTTATCCACACAATCTGGAATTAAAACTCGTGTTTTAGCAGCAATGCACAGCTGGGAGCCAGATGCACTGGGCAAGTATTGTGCTTCACTAAATCTGACAGTTGTAATGGTTTTGTGCATATTTAAGAAGCCACAAGTAGCTATATTATCATGACACAGTGCACTATAGCATGTCATTCTCTATCAACATGCTAAATTTTAGTTGCGCTATGAATGTGTGTGGTCGGTGGTACAACGAGAAATACGTGACAATGATTTTTATGAGCCTCAAACACGGAACACATTTGTAATGAAGACTGTATTAAGAATCCAGCATTAGATAGAAAACAATGTCAACAACCAAAGTGATATAACTGCTGACATCAATGTTGTAACTGCAATGTGCGGGTGAAAAAAAATTTTTTTTTTTCGTAGAAGTCTTGTAAGTGGCACTGTATCATTTCCCTTGTGGCTTTCATATTGAACATCGCAATAAAACTTCAAGATAGCAACAGAACTATTATTGGTGCCCTAGCAACTGATTTACAGAAACTTTCAGCAGATCCCACGCCTTGTGGAAGTCGGTCTCGTGGGGAGCAGTAAGTGAGTATGTCTATGCTACATTTTTTTAACGTTGAGCCAAGCGTTAGGAGATGGATCGACCTGTTTTTATCAATGTACTAGTAGTTTTGCACACACAACGGTCTTAATAGAAATGTAAAATACACTGGTGTTTAAAAGGAAATTTATGCTTAGACGCAATGTCAGCATTCACATTAGACGAATAATGTCAGTATTATCGAAATTAAGTGCACAATATGGCGCAATGGTGTGAATATCATCCATAACTTTTGTTGGCATATTTCTGCAGGGCATATATTTGTTGGCATATTACACAGCTATAAAAGCGGAGCTTACACTGAAATTACAACTGGCCTTCACCCAACATGACACCTGTATCATAGTAGTACATATGTAATGTACTATATTACTTTTCTTATAAAATTACAAAGCCAGTGCTGAAACCACATTTGATGTTGCAACGACATTCCGCCTGGAAAGGGTATTTTTGCATAGCAGTTTAAAGACCTTGCATGGCTCTGTGGTAGAATATCTAACTGCCATGAAGAAGGTTTGGGTTGAATTCCTGTTGGTACTCTGATTTTTATTTTTCGCAATCTTCCTTAATGCTTGTCCATTTAAATTACCAGTTCTTGCTGTTCCAGTGTAGATATAAACGGTCAAGCATCTGTGGTACACACCAACATATCGCGGTTCATGATATACCAGTGTATGCCCAAGATGTCCGGAGGAAAGGGTTCGACGATGTACTCCAAAGCATTTTGATGTCATTCTTGTCATGAGCAGACAGTCATACCAATCAAACCCTCTTACCCTTAGATACCAATTTTGGTCGACACTACATAAATGAAGCGATCACGAGAACACGCAGATGCATGCGGCTAGATAGATAGGCAGTAAAAGGCATAGATAAAAACACTCAAAGTGCCTTTGGTTCGATAAAAGAATGCTTTATATTTAAAGGTAATTTCCAAGAATGGTGAAAAAAAAAACTGTGTTTCTCATTATTTTTGAAAGAACTTTTTCAATTCTTTATTTGTACTGCACGCATTTCCTTCATTTGTGTTTGTTACTCCTTGAAAGTTTGCTTTCAACATGACAAACATGACATACACATGCAGTGCAAACAATATTGCATGCACACAACATGGTCTCCACAGTGTTGCGGCTCTCGGCACTGTTCGCCAGTAGTCGCTCCGAATCCCAGCGCTGATCACCAGTTGTTGCGGACCGGGATCTGCCCGGTCTCTTGTGGTAGCGTGGTGTAGCTTCGGGTGGAGGAAACGAATGCTGACAAGATGACGATACGAAAAACAAACAGGTTTATGGCACTATTTACAAATATTTACAGCATGAGGTTAAGAGTTCACAAACCACGAGCATGGTGGTTGAACCGTTACATGGTTCAGAGCCACGTCCTGCATTCTGCAGCGTCCTTTTAAACCCTGTCGGGCTCCTCCTCCTTGATTGGAACGTCAATCACACACACACAAGACACCACCCACAGGGTGGTGTCTTGTGTGTGTGTGATTGACCCATAATTCAGTAGCACATGGTCCTCCGAATAGTTATTGCCCCTCTTGACGCAATGCTCTGAGAATAGGGGAAATGGGGTTTCTTCCCGGAACAATTTGGCGGTTGGGTTGCTTCTTCCGCCTTTCCCAGGAAGGGCAGCCAAGGAGTAAACACTTGAATCGCGGAGACACGACCTGTGCGGTTGGTCTGCTTCAGCGTCTCGCTAAACAAGCCGGCCCGGAGGAATCGCTTGTAGGAACATTGGCTCACGAACCGTCTTCTAATTCCTTTGTCGCTCCCTGCAGCTGGACGCTGGTTCCGAGAGAACTGGGGTTCCAGGTGTGGGAGCGCTGGCAGCTACGTTTCTCAGCGACAGCACAGCGCCTTCTGACGACGGTCATAACAACAGAAGGAGTGAAGCTGTTGGCATGCTACAATTAAGGCTTACTACATTCGTTACATCACTGACTGAACATGATGCGCTGAATTATAACTGTTTTTTGGCTCACCTGAGTTGTCAACACGAACTTCAGTACACGGGTTCGTTTGTATTTGCGGCCTGCACTTGAACAGGGCACCAGGCTGGTAACATCCTCTCCCAAAGTGGTTGAGTTGCCCTTAATAGCTGACACCAAGGCTCTGTAAGTAAGAAGAAAGTTTTTCATTGAGCGTAAATGCATTTTTTTTTCCAAGAAGTAATACTGGTACCATGTTGCTCTTTCAACTGCACACTTGATTCAAAAAGGGTCAACCCTTACTACAGCTGTGTACTGTAAAGTGCCCAGCCCAGCAATAGCTCCCAGCAAAGCAAGCGCCCCCTACCTTTTTTTTAACATCTAAAATAAGCGCCAATGACCATGCAAGTGTACCCCCACCCCTCCTCCGCTGCGGCCACTTATTCAAAATGATCATTGCTTGTGTAAAAACAACCACAGTAATGAGTACACTGAATGCATATCTAATGTTCTTTATGAAATGTTTTATAATTAAAGCATTTCATTAAAAACGTGCATGAGATTTTTTTTTATCTTCAGTGGCTCTCCGGCCACTGTCGTGAATTTCGGTCTCAGACCAAGCAAGCGTCCGCCTTCCGAATCCAATCGGATGATTCTTCACCGTAGTGGGGGGGAGGGGCTGCTTGTTTGGCATTTTACAGTAGTGTGCAGCTTGAAAAAATAACATGTCCAGTAGCTCCACTTTCATTACATTTACTGTAACATGATAATACGAAAAAAAATATAAAGATCAAAGTTCTTTATTTTTATTTTGTGCCGAAACACTAGCAGCTTTCAAAATTTGCTCATAAACGACGAACATATTCCTTATGTGCCTCACTAAATGCAAGGCTACAACCTCCCATAACCCTCAATACATACCCTCCAAAAAAAAATAGGAAACCTACCTAGTGATATATTTGAAATGAAAATAATTTCGTGACTATACTAGCTATGGTCAATAAGCACTGGCAAAGTAAAGTGAAAGTATGAGTGAAAATTATTGTGCCCTTTGTATGAATAATGTAAAATAGACCAATCACTCATATTAGCTTACATATTTATTGTTTTGAAAGCTGTATATTTGAGAAATGAGCTAGGATCAATCATACAGTGTTGTGTGGGGTACTGTGTTCCACTAAATCCGAACATTGAAGAAGAACTCGAAGGGCATGTGGCGGCGTCAAGAGATTTCAGTAAGGGAAAATGCAAATGCTGCCTCCACCCCACCCTTCTCCCAAATTTATAGCTGTGCTGCTGCAATGAAGCACAAATAAATACAATTCCAAATATAGACCACCGCAATGACGGACTTGGATTCTCCAACCCTTCCCCCTCTCCCTCTCTATTAGAGCCCTCTGGAGTGACCGCACAAGTCGCCAAACCCTCCACCCCCTTTCCCCCCCACCGCCATGCTCGGAAGTATTCCAATAAAGAAAGGCACGCAAGACATTTGTGCGACAGAGCTAAATGCATCAAAAGGTGAAATTTTTTACAATAATTATTTAACAATCTAGATGTAAAAGACAAAGATTACCAACCCTGAAAACTCTATTCTTTCAAACATAGCATTGGCCAGCTGGCATACTATAGTGCACTCAAACAATAATTCCTGAAATTACAGTGAATTACAGAAAGATGCTCAAGTGCATGTATCACACATATCCTAACCTAAACTAACTTCATTCTCTAAGTTTAGTTCAATTTATGTCTAGGTAATCTATTCACATCAACGAAAAACATGAAAAATGTAAAAATGAAAAGAAGGAATAGGAGATTACAAATAAACAAACATTTTAAAAAGGAAATATATTGTCAGGATGTTAATATTGCGGCGATCGTTACCCCGCACCTCCACCAAAGCTATTCCGGATGTGATGGGTTTATTTACACTGAAAATGCCAGCGCTCAACCGTCACTGCCAAATCACCATCGCTCGAGCGCGCCCTCCTTCTGCTTCTTTCTCGCTCTTTCAGTCCGCGTTAGAATATTATAGTAAATGAGAACCCCTGCTCTTCATAAGCGTAAAGCAACATTGGTAACATCTATCAAGTGTTCAAGCGGATGCATCGTGTTAGTTTACGCTGTTTAATAAAAGTTTAATAAAGATGTCGCTGCTGTATACTTAGCCGTCTCCAAGGAATGGAGGCGGGGTCTAGCTACCCCCTCCCTTCCCCGCGCCTAACTTGAGCGTCTGGCAATGCGACAGAAGTTTTAGTCGAGGTAAGCGTCTTCACACTGGCACGAGCGGCTGTACGTATTCCGCTGGACTGTTCGTAAGTACCGCCGCAGGCCAGCTGTCTAGAAGCAAGCCGTTCTTCCGCCGTGGACTCAGAATCGTCAGAATCAGCACATCCGCAGCGCAGCGTGCGCGCACTCGAAAGCACAGCAGCTGTTGCGATGGCGCCATCGGCGCGCTCGACGCGACTTCCGGGCCCCGCCTGTGGGACGGCCCGAGATGAACGGGCCGGTGTCGGGTTTTTTTCAGCATGAAGAATAGGTACGAGTCTGCGGCCACCACCCTTGCGTAGAGAGAGGCGGGAGGGATGAACAACAAGAGAGAAGGCAGCGAGGTTAACCAGGTACTGTACATGCCCGGTTTGCTACCCTACGCTGGGGGAATGGAAAGGAGGACATAAAGATGAGAGAAAGAGAGAGAGGAAAGAGAAGAGAAAGAGAGAAAAAAAGGATTGTCAGTCAATGGGTTGACGCGTATGCAGCGGTGGGGGAATGGGATGGAGGGTATAAAGATGAGAGAGAGAGAGAGGAAAGAGAAGAGAGAGAAAAAACAAGGATTGTCGGTCAATCGGCTGACGCGTATGCAGCGGTGGCACCACACAAAAGTTAAAGGTGGTCACGTAGGCCAGTAGTCCTCAATACCCTTGCGTAAGTCCGGCCGGAGCGTAGGTGCTGTGTAACGTGCGTTAACGTAAGTTCGCGTAAAACTATAATGTACACGAGCCTCTATCATTTTGCTCGCCTCGAAATGCGGCCGCCGCAATCGGGATTCGATCCGGCGACCTGCGGGTCAGCAGTAAAACGCTGCAAACACTAGACAATCACGGCCCCACGATGGTTGTATCACGCGTGATGTCACAGAGTACGTGTGCCGCCTTTATGCACCCGTGAGCTCGATTCCCGGTTACGTTACTTTTAGCGCTGCGCCGTAGTGTTGTCATCAGAACAAACGGGTAGCAGTCATCACATTACAGAAGATTATCGTTAAGTGTACGGAAACATCGTAGGCGGGACGAACGGGTAGCACAGACTACACGCGAAGCACTGCCTAAGCATACACGAACGAAGCAACGAAAATTCTAAAGCACACATTTATATATCCCCACCAAAAAGGAAAAAAAAACATAGATGAACCCCTTCAGCAGCTCCGCTAATCAGTTTAATGCAGTCATCGGGTATTTCCATCATATACCTCCCAATATGTCCACCAATGAACGTATATTATTGCCGCACTTGGTACATGTGCCCCCAATGCTCGTACAGGGCACCAGGATGGAAGTTTCCTCAGGGACGTTTACCTAATAAAACCACCCCTCCATGAATCAAAGTGTAAGGGCCATTATTTGTCGCCTTTAACTGCAGTGCACTAATCATCCGACACGTGAAACGGAATTGAAGTTGACGAAGAAGTAACTTCGACGCCGGCAGGGACGGTCCCTATACCGGCGGCTAAGCTGCTCTTTTGTTCACTTTATTGGCGTTACATTTATTTGATAATTTACTGTAATAAGTTTGAAAGGCTATAAATAGTGCCCGCAATACTTTCCTTGGCTTCGTTGTCTGGTGGCTCCGTAAGCCTGTAATCATAATACCTTAATAATACCTTTTATTTCTTCAAATAAAACAGTACATGCGACTAAGCCCGCCAAAGCCAATTGGTGGCTTGAGTGGCAGAGCCTGGCAGACAGCGAAACAAACCGGACGCGTTACAAGATTGTATTTCATGGCCTAAGCGGGATGATAGGACAAAAACAGCAGCTTCATAAGCTTGGGACAAAGCGGCTTCATAAGCTTGTGACAAAGAAACGAGCCCTTGTGCGTTCATTCAAGGGTCCTGGATGACTTGCGGCGGCATTGGGCGCAGCTCCACATCCACCGGTCGCGTACGCCGATTCGGAAGCAAGACCCTTCTCGCGGAAGCGAGCGTGGAAAGACATTGTTCGCCAGTGATCCTTGCGTGATCCCTTTCATTCAACCGAGCGGTCGCGCACCAGGACAGGCGACAAACGATGGGCAAGGCACGCATCCTGTTCTACTTCGCTGCACGCAGTTTTTTCTGCCGATTAAGTGAACTTCCCAACCCAAACAAGCAAACAATGGCATTTTGATAACTTCAGCCTTAGAACAATAGATAATCTGTATTGACGCAACGTCGGCTTCGCACGTTTCAACGCTATGAAGTTCTTGGCACCTCGGCTATATCTCGAAGAAGCACCTACTTAACCCCTGTCACACGGCAAAGCTAATGTCATTAAGCGAATGACATCAAGCGGACCTAATGTCATTTTACCTGCGCGCTGTCACACCTGGGAACACCTACACGACGAAAACAAATTTCACTTTGAAATGATGACCATGACCTTAACCCTCCTGAGCGGTGGCTTTGGGAGAAATAAAAATATATTAAAACTTGCATGCAACGTGCCTGCATCCAGAAAAAAAAAATGGCCCCGTATCTGCATGTTTCACTGCAAATGTCGCCGAAAGACGATAGTCTTGCATGTGGTGAGAGTGAACAAAACGTTTATTTGATTTTCTGCGTGAGAAAATCGGTGAATTGTATTCTGAAAGCGCTGCGTTAGAGAGTCTCGTTCCCTGCAGCGAAGGCGAACGAGCGCATCGAGGCACGTTAAAGCCCCTTTATCTGCGCCATGTGGCAGTTACCTTCGAACACGAAGGAAGGCGTCAACCCGCGGAGAAAGATGCGCGCCTGTCTCGGTAGCGATAAGAAGTAGAACGCAAAGCAACGGGCCGGTGCCACCACCATGTCGTCTTAGCAAAGCGTTGGAAACACTTGCCTTTTTGAGCATCACATTGCACTGTCAGCGCAGCGTGATAAACGCTACAGTCCTTAGAATCACTTGCGTGTGCCTCGTCTAGTATAAAGGCACACATAAAAAACATATG